TGATTAACTGGCTCATGTCTTCTCCCCTTTTTCCCATACCAGAGACGGGACATTTCCTTCCCAGGTCACATGAAGCTTCAGCAAATCACAGGAGCACTGTTTTCAAAAGCATTCTTCCTCTGTCAAAGATAAATGCCCAGCTCCAGAGCCCTGCCACTGTGACAAAACAGTTCGCTAGCAACCAAGATTTGATTGACACAACCAAGAGCTAATCACTAAGTAGCATCCATTGCACAGATGGTCCTGAGTGGAGACTGCAAAGCTGGGGAGGGAAGAAAGTGTTTCCCATGCTTAAGTTTGTCTGCACTGCACCCAAATGTGCAAAGAAAGGAAGGGCTCAGAGTTTAAAGACACAGAGCACATCTTTCCATGGCACTAGCAGACACACTAAAAGTCTCATGGTTACAAGTAACACACTGTGTACAATTTCCAGAATGCTTCTCAAGCCACACACGTGACTGCAATTAACATTTGACTGTTTGTTCATCTAGTTCCACAAGGAGATCCAGGTTCTCAGGTGTGGCTCCTGAATGGGCAGCAAACAGAACAGGCTATGCTGTGCCTGGTGTTTTGTTTATCTTTCTCATAATTCTTTCCTAATTCTTTTTTGTTAGACTTTTGTTATTTATTGCTAAGAATCCTATAAAATTTAATTTTTATGAGAATATTCATAGATAATAAGCTCACTTTAAAACATTTTCTAGCTTATTTATTGAAAGACACACATTTACTGTGTCTACAGAGGAAATCCTTCATTAATTAGTAGTATATGGAATAAAGCAGAAGCTTATTTTAAAAGATTAAATATGAACTATAATTACATTTAATTTAGATAAAATTAAAATTATTTGAAGTTCAGTTTTAGCTATGCTATAATTTTCAGACAAACTTTCTCTACTATGAACTCACTATGTCTAACACACAAGGCCATCTCCTCAAATACACACTACTTTTCCAGTAGAGAAGACTGTGCCCACAGAACCCAGCACGCCTGTGGGTAATAATCTCCTTCCTGTATTCCAGCCACGCCTCTCCCCATTACTCTCAACCACACTCCTTAAACACGAAACACACTGTGGTCATCGTCCTTCCTCGTAAACCAAACCATCAACAATACTAAAACATTCGAGGGCACATTTTAAAGACTTGCCAAACTACTAGACAATCTTTCTCAAACATGAAGTAGGTGCTGTGAGAAACAAGATAAACAAAACATCAGGCACAGCAGAGCCTGTTCTGTTTGTTGCCCATTCAGGAGCCGCACCGGAGAACCTGGGTCTCCTTGTGTTGACTGCAGACATAGAGCCTCCTTTTATTTTCTTGATAGTTTCAACTGAATGTGTATTTTGGTAACCAGGCTTCGAAGAGATTGGGAAACATTTTTGGTTGCACTTTAATATACTTAGTTTTAATTTGCAATTACATAGTTCTTTAATGACAATACTGAAATGTACTTGGGAAACTACATGTAAGATCACTTACTACCCAGCTGTTTAGCAGATGCCGTACTAAATACACAGCTGCCGTCCTCTGGCACGGTTCTTACAGGGAGCTGCAGCAATATTACACCGGTGCTCTTCTTTGGAAAAATCTAATGAATGACTCTGGTGATGACTACTTAATGACAGCTGTGCAAACGGAACTGCGTCTATACAACGGGGGGAAAAAAGTCCAGTAATGACAACTGAGCTTAATGGTGCAGAAAGCTAACACTGGGTTAAATATTTACACGTATATAATCAACTGGAGAACCCTGTAAGTTGTAATCAAAATCAATACAGATAACTTGAAAACTAGAGGCAGAAGGTAGACACCAAAACATTTCGAGTAGCCCTTCGGGGGCTTATGCTATAAGTGGGCAACATGCTGTTACATTATTCTTCGACGGACGACTGAGCTCTGAGCCACTGAGAAACTGAGTAATATCCAACGCTTGAAAGAACCAGGCTCTGAGAAACTGAACACTGAATGGAACACCAGTTCACCAACGCTGGGCAAGGGTCGAGGGAGAGAAGGCGGCAGGGCCTTTCCCTCTAACAACGGTCAGATCAAAAGCACGACTCCAGTTCGGGGGGTGGGACGGTCAGCAAAGGTGCTTGCAGCCTATGGCTGGTCCCTGGGGCCCACACAGTGCAAGGAGAAGAGCACTGCTACCACGCTCCTCTGACACCAGTAAACAGAACGGATGCCACATCTCTGATCCCCTTTCAGAACACAGTAGTTATTCTGGTGTCTCAATCATTAGGGGACCTCGATGCTGAAACATGGCTAAACTCTCCCCATTTTCTGTGGGGGAGGGGTTCTGCTGGCTAGCTGTCTGGAACTCACTCACACATAAATCTCTAATACTGTACTTTCTTCCTGCTGTCCTCATCGTTCTAATTCTGAAATTCCTGCCTGTTCTGTTGAGTCGTAAGACTGTTACTTAATCTCTGTATTTTGTAGATGAAGCTGTTTTACATATGTCTTACAGTTTTCCCATTCAAACCGCACACTGTAGCAATTTTGGGTGCCATGACTTTCAGCTGTTTAACACATCTAAGCACAATGATGAAGATAACACAGGGTCTGCAAAGAATCTAAAAGGTTAAGCACCGGAGTTAAGGGCAATAGCTCTGTTCTGGGAGAAGGTTAAAACAGAGACAAGCCAGGCTTCCCACCTTATTGTCATCTGCCCAATGGGCTTTCTGTTATTGATGGTTCCCAGAAGAAGGAACAAAGGTGAACAGATCAAGCACAAACAAGGACCTTCCTAAGAGACCTGTCCTAAGAGAGAAAGCATTGCTCTTTCTATCTCTCATGTTACAACACAAGAGTGTAAGATGCAAAGTGGGAAAACATGATGGCAGCAAACTTCCTTCCGAGTTTAGAACCTCATGAAATAACTTGAGAGCTGAGAAGGGTTAGCATGCACACAAGCTGTCCCAGCAGTCTAAAGAAAACTGGCGACAGGGGGAAGCA